AATTCAGAATCCTCCTACTGAATTCAGGCAGCCCAAGCAGTTTTCAGTGCTTCTAAGGGCAGAATGCAGTCATTAAAGTCCAGAGCAATATCCTTGCTCCACTTTCCTTACAACACTTTCCTTATTTCCCAGACTGGGGCTGTCTCCCTTCATTTTCTATTCTCTCTTGTCCATTGCCTCTGGTTTCTGTGTTTTGTGTCTTTTCTGCCCTTAGTGTTGTCCATCTTTTTCTGGATAGCATCCTCTGTTTCCTTTATCTTCTCTAGCTGCTTTAGAAAACCTGCAGGTTCTTTTTTCCCAGCTTCCTACTTCCCTCTCACATCTTTGACTCCGAAGTGGGAGTCCCAGGGTCCCATTAAGCCTGATCCAAAGCCCATTTAATCAATGGGGCTAAGTACAGACACTCAAAAAGCCTGAGGCTGATCAATTCAGTCTTTGCAGTTAGTCTAAACTGCACAGATTAAATTGAAACAGAAGTGAACAGACATTTACCTTTGATTCAGGAAATGCAGCCACATGCCTCCAGTGGCTCAGGCCAGAAATCAGGGGGCTCTCTGGCTGTGTGTTCACTTTCTCTACCTGCTGCCCCTGAGGTCACTGAGATTTGCAGTCCAGAATTACATCAGCAGGACTCTCAGAGTTGCTCATCACTTCCTCTTCCTGCTTCCAGGTGCCTCTGGGATTTGCAGTCCACAGCTGCAGCCAGCAGCAAGTTTGAGTGGGGCCAGGAAGGGTGTTTAATCCCCCTTCCTGGGCCCCAGCCTCCAAACACCAGCCAGAGTTTGCCTGAGGGAAGGGGACAGCCCTAGCCTTAGCCCTAGTCCTAGCCCAAGCCCTAGCCCTAGCCCCCTGCACACAGGGCTGCATCCCCAGGCTTACCTCCCCCCCTCTCCTTATCAGCCAGCCCTCACTGCTACAGCTAGAGAAGAGAGAGGCAGGGCCAGCCCTGCTTTCTGGAGCAGACACCACAGCCCAGCCCAGGGCTGGAAAGTATGCTGCAGGACTGTGATTTAATTTGAACTAGGAAGGGGTCTAGAACAGAAGCTTCATAAACTGTTTTGACCCAAAACTATTAAGTCTGATACTATATTCAACCAGGCTTTTCTTAAACCGGTTTCAAAATGGCTAAAACTGGTTTATGTGCTCTGAGCCCCTGTTCTGATACAGGTTTGACTTAAACCAGTTTACGTGCAACTTCTGACCCTAGCCGGGGTGTTTTCTCAGAGAGTCCATAGAGTTAGGCCCTTAGTGAGGAGCTCAGCTACTCACACAGGTTGGCCAATTGACAAAGCTGCAGGGGGCAGAAGCTGAACTCTGTTCTCTTCCCCATCAGGAAGGCCTCTGCCAGGTTGTATCATGTATACAAGTATGGGATTCATCTCTCTCTGTATGAAGAGCTAAGCTAAAATAAAACGCTTACATTTGGGGGGTAGATCCAGCTGGGAGCAGATTCCAGATGTTTATGTATCACTTGGCCCCTTTCCTAAAGCCCTTTAAAGAGGCACCAAAGAAACTAAATTACTTTATCTCAGTTCAAATCCTACAGGAAGGTCTATCCCATTAGAGTAAGAGATTCATGTGTGCAACTGAAGGAGCGATTCCATCCAAGTAAGTTGGCCATGATGCTTTTCTCCACTAAATGCTTGATTCCATAGCTTGAAGCCTCATTAGGGCCCTCCAGTCTGCCCATCTGTATTAGCACAAGCCAGGAGAACAAGTTCTACTTAGCCTTTCTCCCGAGGAAAACAGCCTCCACTTCACCCCAGTCCTGTAGTGTGGTTTACTTAATTAGCCTAGTACCATCCTGTCTGATGGTGGAGCAAGGGCAGACAGGCTTGGTTTACACCCTCTCTGCAGCAACCCT